CGGAGGCCTCCGGCAGGTTGTCTTCTCCAGGCTGAACAGCCCCAATGTTCTCAGCCTGTCCTTGAGGACGTGGCACCTGGGGACTGAGCAGTGGGTCAGTGGCCCACGGGGACATGGTGCCCCTGGGGAATTCATGGTGGTTTCACAGCCCCGGGGCCATGGGGACCTGGGGAAGGACCAGTGGCTCAGCAGCCCTCGGGGACACAATGCCCTGGGGACAGCACAACAGTTTGGCAGCCCTTGGGACATGACACCCACAGGACAGCACAGTGGCTTGGCCACCCCTGGGTACACAGCGCCCTGGGGACAGCAAAGCACCAGCCCCAGCAGCCACTCACCATGAAGTCAATGTTGGTGTCCTCGTTTCGGAAATACTCCATCAGCTTCTCGAAGCGGTTCTTCTCCCCGCAGACCTGGGGTGGGAGCAGAGGGCTGAGGGCCCAGAGTGACACAGCCAGGGTGGGCACCAAGGGGGTGGCAGGGCAGAATGCATCCCAACCCTGATGGGTGCTGCCTGGCACCTAGTCCAGCTGGATGTGACCCTGGGGACATGCTCTTGGCATTGGGACATCAAGCCCGAAGGCTGGAGCATCAGGATAGGCATTTTCAGGATGGAGGATGCCCTGATGATGCAGGGCTCTGCCACACATAGGGGAACTGAGGCACAAACCCAGCCAGAACAGGGGTGCCAGTGCGGGGACTGTGTGACCCTGCTGGGCACTCACCTCCTTGAAGTTGTCAAAGGCAGCCAGGATGATGTCGTGGCCACCCCGGACCAGGCAGACAGCGGCCAGCAGCTCCAGCACCAGCGCCTTGGTCCTGTGGAGACATGGGGTGCGAGAGGGTCGGGGCTGTGGGGTGGACAATGGGCTGGGGGGACAGGGGGCAGGTCCTACCTGGCGTTCTTGTTGTTGAGGCTCAGGGTGATCTCATTGACACAGGCTGGGTGGTTCATCACCAGGCTGAAGCCAGACTTGGGGTGGGGAAGGAGCATTAATGGGGTTGTGCATCCTGTCCCCACCTCAGGGATGCTCTGGGACCTTGAGAGATCCCCGTGCCACGTCCCCACCAGACATGAGGACATCTCAGAGCAAGAGGATGGAGAATGGGTCCCATCCCAAACCATGACCCTGAAGATGGACCTGCAGTGCCTGGAGACTTTGGGGGAGCCCTCTCCCACCTGGTAGTTCATGATGGCGCGGAGACACATGATGCAGACGTGGACGTCGTCCTTCTGGCTGACGAGGCGGGAGTTCCTCAGCGCCTTCCTGCTGTGCGAGGCGTTCAGCCTGGGGGGCGAGAGGGCAGCTGAGCGGGGCCGGGGTGACGGGGGGCACAGCGCAAAGCAGGGGTGGGGACAGAGCATGGATGGGTGGCAGCAGGGACGGGGGGGACACCAGGAGCCCCAGGCGGTTGCATCCCCAG